CACTACTGTAGTGCACCTAGCTGCACTACTGTAGTGCACCTAGCTGCACTACTGTATTGCACCTAGCTGCACTACTGTATTGCACCTAGCTGCACTACTGTAGTGCACCTAGCTGCTACAGTAGTGCACCTAGCTGCTACAGTAGTGCACCTAGCTGCACTACACTAGTGTTTTGAAAATGGAACATTTTCGTAAGGATGAGTTAGATATTTAGCTTAGAACTTAGTAAACCTGAGAGGTTATCTATTTTACAGTCATCCATTATGCTAATACGAAACAAGTGTGGGTTGTTATCAATGTTTTGTCAATGGTTGTTAATCTGGCCACCAGTATGACAAGGTATTACGTGATGATACTGGTGGTGGTGGCGCAAGTTAACGCTACGTTCGTGTAAATATACACAACATGACGCATGATCGTATGCAAATTCACAAACTCGCTCTCATTCTCTCCCCTTCCCTTCATCCCTCTCCTCCCCTCCAGCCTCTTCTTTCCCTCTCCTCTGCCCCTCCATCTACCTCCTCCATCCTCCCATCCCTCTTCTTTTTCCTAACCATCTCCCTACTCTCCTTGCCTCTTATCTCTCTCTCTCTCTCACCCCATTTCTCTCTCCTCTCCTTCTCTCTCTCATCCACACAGCCACACCCACAGCGCCTTGCTTCAGCTCCAAATGCCAACAAAAACCTGTCGATAGCAACGGTGAAACGGGATAAAGCCAGCAATGAATGTTTCCTAGTTTAAACACCATCCGGGAATTACAACCTAACCTACCTACTTGTCCTAATTTATCCCTTCTTGAGCAAAAATTTTAGAGACTGTAACTGAAGACTGCGACACCTGTCATTAATAATTATTCGAAATGCAGAATGAAAGTAAGAGTGGATCTGTTAAAATGTTAAACAGTGTTACTATTACAGCAAAAAAAATGAGAGGTTGGATAACAAGAACACTCAAAACAAAAGATGTCAAACCAATGTTGATATTCTTCAGGCCACCGCACTATCCAGAGGGAAATATTTTGGGGGAAAGACCCCTGGCTGTCTACAAGGCGGAATTTGTTAAGTTCCTAGTGTCAAGTCAGGGATCACCCGAGTTGTGGTACCTGCGTACTGCTAACATGAAAAGTCTGATTGATCAGGTCTTCAACCAGGAGGCCTGGTCATGATCTTGTTGCTTTAAGCGATGATCGCCTGAATCAACAGGTAGGTAAGTTTGATAAGGTTACTGAGCGAGTTTTTGTAAAAATTAAAACTGCATACACTTTTTTATTTACGTGAACATATCTAACAGTTTAAAAACAAATTTCAAGTTTTTGGTTTCCAAAATTCGACTGTTTTTGCAACTCTCTTCCTTCTCATCCTCTCATTGGTCCTCCACCTCATTTTCTTTCTCATCTTCTACTTTCCCCGCTTCTTTTTCTCTTTTACCACAACCTTTTTTTCCAATCTTCTATTTTCTCTACTAAATCTTATTCTTCATTCAGGTCCTCTTCAACCCTGCGTCGTCGTTAGACTCCTAAAACTCTGTGAATATGATAATGGTATACAATACTGACAAGTTGTTAAGTAGGACATATGTGCAACACTTAAGTAATTTTCCCTAACTACTGCACATGTGTCTTACCTCCTAAAACTCTTCCTCTTGCTTCCTGTTCTCTCTTATTTCTGTTGCTCCTACTACTGAAGGTAAAACTGTGTGTACCTCTATCAGCTGTAGATGTTAACCCCTTAGATATCTGCAGACTTGAAGCATATACCTTCAGTGTAGCTCTACACTCCACACCCTACATACTACTCTTTACACTCTATACCCCACACGTGACACCCACCAAATATCCCTCACCCCACAACCTACACCACACATCCTATAATCAGAATTCGACACCATACATCCTACACTCCCATTTCTCTCCACCCTATACTCAACACAAACCCCATATACTCATCACCCGACTCCCTACACACCCCACCCCACGCTACACTCCACCCCACACTATACATCCCACGTCGAAAGCCCCAGGAAAGGATCGTGACGAATAATACACTATGAAAGGAGTTACTGCTGTCTCTATATGAAATTGCAAATTGTATTTCTGTAACAGCGACATTTTTTCTCTTGCGCGTGCATTTGGCGATGTTTATTGCAAGAACAGACTTTTGCATTTTCTTCTCTTTTTTTTCTTCTTTCATCATCCCACATTTTCTAACACTTCATTCTTTCTATAATCTTTGGTTTCAATCAATAACATCAGCTGATCCAAGGCTACCAACTTTACACACACGCACTATTTGTGCACTAATTCTTCATTGCATTATCAGACAAATAATGAAGAACAAGGACAGAGGAAGAGAGAAAGGGACAGAAACAGGAGGAGGAACAAGAAGCGACACAAATGAAGATTAGGAACAGGGACAGGGGATAAGGAAGAAAAGGAGGAATGGGGACAAAGGAAGAGGAAAATAAAGAATGCCACGAGAAGATAAATAAGACGTGTACCTTTACTCCGAAAAGTTTCACCTACACAGTAGGCTTCTGCACTCGAATATAAAGAAAACAGAAGAAAATGTGGAGATACAAAGACGTTGCGGGATAAAGTTACCTAACTGTTAATCATGTGTTGTTACCTAACTGTTGCACATTGTTTTGTTTATATGGTTTAGAAAACCGTCAAGTTGATAAATGAGACACTTGTGCAACATTGGGTATATTTATTCTGGGAAAGTTTCACCAGCCAGTGGCTTCTTTAGTCCAATACAGAGAACGGTGGAAGATGAGGTTCAGGTAATCAGTCTTGATACAAGTACAGCATATGCGCGGAGAAGGGGCTTGTATACTGTTGACATGTGAGATGAAGCAGTGGTAGGCTGCATCACCAGTGGAAGTAGATCATTCTTATAGGTTAGACAAGATCTGAAAGAATTCCCTACATCAAGATCCCAAGATGTTCTTTTCCTAACCTATAGGCATGACCTACTTCCACTAGTGGATTTTTCCACTGGTGATGCCACCTACCGCTGCTTCACCTCACCTGTCTGAAGTACATAAGCCCCTTCTCCGCGCATATGCTGTACTTTTATCAAGACCGATAGACGGAACACGACTCCAGGCTGAGGGACTGATTTCCCTGAACCTCATCTTTCACCATTCTCTGAACTGGACTGAAGATACGTTCCATAGTATTATTATTGACGATGCATTCTATAATAATTATTAATGATCTATTATTATTGACGATACATTCTATAATAAGTATTATTATTGACGATACATTTTATAATAAGTATTATCACCCACAAGCTTAATCTCAATAGCTGCAAATTTAAAATTTTACTGGAACAGTTAAAAAAAAAACATTGGAAATCATTCTAATCAGATCAATTACTGGTGAATGTCTCTGATAGGCCATCAAACTTTTATCATTCTATTATTTTCTTTTACTGTATTATTTTTTACCGTACTATTTTACTGCACTATTTTTTTTGTTTACTATTATTTTTTACTACACTATTATTTAGTTTACTATTATTTTTACTATTTAGTTTACTATTATATATGTACGTAGCAGTCAAAGATTTTAGATAGACATCATTACTACTGTTTTTATTAATGTGCTAAAGATATATTCCTACGAATCTATATTGAAGTATTACTATAAATACTACTTTTTACTAGTTATCTTAAAGATGATTAGTAAGAAATTGCTATTTTTTCTGATACTCGAATAAGCTTAGAGATTATTTTCATAATCAGGTGATGTTCTAAACTCGAAAAGATAATACGACGCTGCAAGAAAGCTTAGTGAGAGAAGTCTGTCATACTCGCGAGACATTACCTGCCCACTCTCAGTGTTCCTTACCTGCCCACTCTGTGTTCCTTACCTGCCCACTCTGTGTTCCTTACCTGCCCACTCTCACTGTTCCTTACCTGCCCACTCTCACTGTTCCTTACCTGCCCACTCTCACTGTTCCTTACCTGCCCATTGTCAGGGTATTACCTGCCCACTCTGTGTTCCTTACCTGCCCACTCTCAGTGTTCCTTACCTGCCCACTCTCAGTGTTCCTTACCTGCCCACTCTCAGTGTTCCTTACCTGCCCACTCTCACTGTTCCTTACCTGCCCACTCTCACTGTTCCTTACCTGCCCACTCTCACTGTTCCTTACCTGCCCACTCTCACTGTTCCTTACCTGCCCATTGTCAGGTATTACCTGCCCACTCTGTGTTCCTTACCTGCCCACTCTCAGTGTTCCTTACCTGCCCACTCTCAGTGTTCCTTACCTGCCCACTCCCAGTGTTCCTTACCTGCCTACTGTCAGTGTATTACCTGCCTACTGTCAGTGTATTACCTGCCTACTGTCAGTGTTCCTGGGAACTGACAGCAGGTGTGCACACTGGCCGAACTTTAACATTTTAACTCCCAGTTTGTTTACATCCAGAGGAAAAAGTGACACGGGTAGACAGTTTGATATTTCGATTTTTTTTTTTTTTTCATTTTTTGAGAATTTTCCAGCATTTTCAGGAAATTCTAACTTTTCCACTAAAATTAAGACGTGGTTAAAAATCATCGATTAAAAAAAATGCCTAAATATGTAGGTGATAGATGGAGGTTCTCACCTGGGAGGTTTTGCGAGGCACTGACAGATGGAGGTTGTTCTCACCTGGGAGGTTTTGTGGGGCACTGACAGATGGAGGTTCTCACCTGGGAGGTTTCGTTGAGAGCTGATAGATGTTCTCACCTGGGAGGTTTTGTTGGGAGCTGATAGACGGAGGTTCTCACCTGGGAGGTTTTCTTGGAAGTTGATAGATGAAGCTTCTCACCTGGGAGAAGGTTTTGTTGAAAGTTGATAGATGGAGGTTCTGACCTGTATATAGGCTGTGGTGGAAGGTAATAAATGGAGGTTCTGACCTGGATACAGGCTGTGCTGGGAGAGGATAGATGGAGGTTCTGACCTGGGTGGTTGCTGTGACGTGTCAGAGGTGAGATAACACCATGGGATTCTTACCTGGGAGGTTGAGGTGCACGGTGGGGTAGGGCGGGGTGCCAGGCACAACTTGGGTAGTGCCACCAGGGGACGACACAGAGGTGATGAGGTTAGTGTGATATATATGACTGCGGCCACTGTTGTTGTTGACGCTGGTGCGGCTCAGTGTCGAGTACGGGGATCCCCCGCAGCTTGACAGCCGCTCCTTCCCGAAATCAAGATGGAAGGCCAAGTTGAGATTAGTGGGAGAGATGCCTCTACGGGCATCCTTGTCCACTGAAGGAGGGATGGAGGTGAGGCTGCCGAAGGAGGAGCCAGAGGAGGAGGCCACGCCCACCTCCAGTCCTCCGGCACTGCCATTGGCTGCCCCTCCGTGTTGCTCCGCCCACTGCTGCTGGAACTGGTTAATGAAAACGGGCAGCGAGAGCTTCCTTTTATTTTTAAGTGTGGCGCGAAACCTGGTCAGTTTTTTCTCAACCTTCTCCATGGTCAGGTGGGTGTATCATGGAGGGTGTCCCACGTCACTCACTCTTCACGGGGGAGCTACACACGAGTGGGAGTTACCACCCCACATGACTGCCTCTTCACCACCGCGAGTAGCGGTATGCTTGTACACCTGGCTAGGACCGGTACCCTGCACCTGCCCGCGGCCACACACGGTACTGGGGAACACTCACCATATTCCACCACCGCCTCACCATGACAAGGAAATGTTTGGGCGAGAAATGACGAGTGTAATTCCCAGCAACATGCACAGTTCTACCTAGCTTATTCACACTATCACACTCCCAATGATGAAGCACTTTTCAATACTGTGTTAACTTTTCACTTTTCCAAATAAAGTTTGCGTTAAACGCTAAGTTCTTTTGTACAAGAAATTAGGTTAGAACCTCACAAACATGAATTATCCTTCACTATTAACTAACACACAATTAACCTGTAATACAAGAAATACCAGTTAGAAACATACCATTTAATCAAATCACGGAACGGGTGGGATCTGAACCCATGGCGAGTCGTAAAACTCACAGGCCAGTGCGTTAACCACTCGACCAGTGAGTTTTAGGATTTACTTGCCATGGCTTCAAGTCCCATCCGTTTCACGATTTGCTTTCAATCGTGTTATGATTTCGTGAACCTTCTTTAATCCTGGTGATGGGCTCTTGACCCTAAGAATTACAGAGCTACCGTGCCATCGAAACAAACCTGCCATTCACCAGATCCAGTATGACCCTGCACAATGAATAATTATAATCATTAGAAACTTCAGTGATCACCAGCTGCGCTCTCCACCTCAACACTTGTCTTATGCAAGTGAGCCAGGAAAAAAATGTCATCGTCCCAGCTCAGAGCCTGGCGAGCACCGTGGTACCTCTAATACTGCCGCCGCCACTAATGGCGTGAGAACCAGCGTCATGAACACGTGTGAACACAAAGTTTATGTTCATGCATTCTGGCAGTGGTGATATCTAGAGCTCCTCCCAATGTTCAGATATGTAAGCTTTTAAAGAAAACCTACACCACAATCCGTAACTCTTTTACGGTTTATAGTTCTATGCTCTCTCTCTCTCTCTCTCTCTCTCTGTTAATTAATATTTTACGTGATAAAATTTAAGCTGGTTATGTTACCGCTTCAAGTCAGTAACAATTCAGTCTAACAGTCTTATAAAACACGAGTAAGAAAAAACAATCAGAGGCTATATAACGTTACGCTCTATATGGAATTTTATCACAGAGCGAAATGCTGCTACACTAAAATCTTGCAATGCACCTGTGGTCAGCAGTACCCCTTTTGTATCGAGTTGCAACATTTAGTTTAGTGAAGACATTTAGGTAACCTTTATCAACTAGGATAACCAGAAGGAGCAATAACACCAACCACGCAGATCACTATCACTATGCACCGCGGTAACATCAGATTACTGATCAGAGGATCAAAAACACTACATTCAATAACAGATACATAACTCCCAGGATCACCAACGCACAACGATAAGATAAATAACAACCACCTGAAGATCTACACTACACACAGTGATAACACCGAGATATGTAACAACTCTCAGGATCGCCAACACTACAGAGATAACCACTCTCAGGATCACCAACAACACGCAAAGATAACCACTCTCAGCATCACTAACAGAGAGAGAACCATTCTCAGGATCACCAACAATACACACAGATAACCACTCTCAGGATCACCAACACTACGGAGATAACCACTCTCAGGATTACCAACACGACAGAGATAACAACCAAACTTAGGATCACCAACAACAGAGTTAACAACCACTCTCAGGATCACCAACACTACAGAGTTAACAACCACTCTCAGGATCACCAACACTACCAACTATCAGGTCAGTAACTTTAACCAGGCTCACTCTCATAACTTTGCCTCCACATGAAAAGAAGAAAAAAGGAAAAACTTCAAGGGTATTTTTCTTCAAGAATGACTGTGGGGGAGAATCAATGCGAGAGAGAGAGAGAGAGAGAGAGAGAGAGAGAGAGAGAGAGAGAGAGAGAGAGAGAGAGAGATAGAAATTTTGTTTTATAGCTTAAATATCTATTTCTACAAGTACATGACAACTTATACAGACCACAGCTGACATCAGTGATATACTACATAGAAAATCCCTGATTATGCAGAGCATTTCAGGCAAATTAGGTTAATCTTGTCACTCAGAATGCGACCCACATCACTCGGCTAATACCCAGGTACCTACTTGCTGATAGGTGAATAGGGACAGAAAGTGTAAGGAAACACGCAAAATGTTTCTACCCGTACCTGGGATCGAACCACGGGCACTCAATATGTGAACAGAGTGCGCTACCAACCGAGCTACGCGACCGGAATCCATCATCAGTTTCAGTATTACTCGATCCTACTGAATAAAAATATCACAGTTGGAGTTTTTGGTCATCTGACCGAGACCTTCCGCTGGCTTACTGATCCACCCCTTCAAAAATTATGGTTATATGAACGACCTTTTAACTCCTCCCAAGACGCACTTGTAGAATTCTCACAACAAATACATATTCGAGAAAGAATAAGCACTGGGCTCACAATTTGCTGAGGGCGCTGACAAAGTGTGTCGTCAACACTGGGAACTGCATCGGTTTTCTGCCTTCAACACCTTCCCCGAGGCTGACTGTAGCCACAACAAACACTGACGTTGTTGTTGTTGAATCACGGAGTATACAAGGTGACCTTGAGCCATGCTGGTCTACCAGGTCGGTGTGTGTGGTGGTGACGACCTCGTCGGGTTTGTGGGGGTAGTGACGACCAGGTTGGATATGTAGTGGTGATGACTAGGTTGGGTGTGCAGTGGTGACGACCAGGTTGGGTGTGCAGTGGTGACGACCAGGTTGGGTGTGCAGTGGTGACGACTAGGTTGGGTGTGTAGTGGTGACGACCAGGTTGGGTGTGTAGTGGTGACGACCAGGTTGGGTGTGCAGTGGTGACGACCAGGTTGGGTGTGCAGTGGTGACGACCAGGTTGGGTGTGCAGTGGTGACGACCAGGTTGGGTGTGCAGTGGTGACGACCAGGTTGGGTGTGCAGTGGTGACGACCAGGTTGGGTGTGCAGTGGTGACGACCAGGTTGGGTGTGCAGTGGTGACGACCAGGTTGGGTGTGCAGTGGTGACGACCAGGTTGGGTGTGCAGTGGTGACGACCAGGTTGGGTGTGCAGTGGTGACGACCAGGTTGGGTCTGTAGTGGTGACAACCAGGTTGGGTCTGTAGTGGTGACAACCAGGTTGGGTCTGTAGTGGTGACAACCAAGTAGGGTATGTAGTGGTGACAACCAAGTAGGGTATGTAGTGGTGACAACCAAGTAGGGTATGTAATGGTGACAACCAAGTAGGGTGTTAGTGGTGACAACGAGTAGGGTGTGTAGTGGTGACAACCAGGTTGGGTCTGTAGTGGTGACAACCAGGTTGGGTCTGTAGTGGTGACAACCAAGTAGGGTATGTAGTGGTGACAACCAAGTAGGGAGTGTAGTGGTGACAATCAAGTAGGGTGTGTAGTGGTGACAACCAAGTAAGGTGTGTAGCGGTGACAACCAGGTTGGGTCTGTAGTGGTGACAACCAAGTAGGGTATGTAGTGGTGACAACCAAGTAGGGAGTGTAGTGGTGACAATCAAGTAGGGAGTGTAGTGGTGACAATCAAGTAGGGTGTGTAGTGGTGACAACCAAGTAGGGTGTGTAGTGGTGACAACCAAGTAAGGTGTGTAGCGGTGACAACCAGGTTGGGTCTGTAGTGGTGACAACCAAGTAAGGTCTGTAGTGGTGACAACCAAGTAAGGTGTGTAGCGGTGACAACCAGGTTGGGTCTGTAGCGGTGACAACCAGGTTGGGTCTGTAGCGGTGACAACCAAGTTGGGTCTGTAGCGGTGACAATCAGGTTGGGTCTGTAGTGGTGACAACCAGGTTGGGTCTGTAGTGGTGACAACCAGGTTGGGTCCGTAGTGGTGACAACCAGGTTGGGTCCGTAGTGGTGACACATTGGCGTATGTGACATCAGGTTGGGTCCGTAGTGGTGACAACCAGGTTGGGTCCGTAGCGGTGACACCCAGATGTGGTCGTTACTATTGTTAATGTTGCAGTTTAAAAACTGTAGTGTAAAGCACCCTTCTGGCAAGACAGTGATGGAGTGAATGATGGTGAAAGTTTTTCTTTTTCGGGCCACCCTGCCTTGGTGGGAATCGGCCAGTGTGATAAAAAAAAAAATAATTCTTTAATCTCTCTCTCTCTCTCTCTCTCTCTCTTTCTCACACACACACACACACACACACACACACACACACACTTCAGTGAGATTTTTTTTTAAGAATTAGCAAGCGTTCACCGTCTAGTTCTCAGTAATCCTTTACAAAACCTGCTCATTTAAAGTTCATATACATTTTAAGACCCAACTTGAGCCTCAAAAAGCCTCTAAATACTTAATATTAATATTCTCTACTTTCCACGTTTTCTGTGCTATTCTCTTCACACCCAGTTTACTGTAATTTGATTAATGAATCTCAGCATGGGTTCACGAGAGGTCGTTCCTGCCTGACAAATTTACTGACGTTCTTGAATAGAACATTTGAGGCAGTTGACAGTGATAAGGAATATGATATTGTTTATTTGGATTTTAGTAAAGCCTTCGATAGAGAACCTCACAAGAGACTTAAGAGAAGTGGCAGCTCATGGTATAAGAGGATAGAGGCATGGCTTACCAACAGAAACCAGAGAGTTTCCATTAATGGGGTCAAATTTGAATGGGGATTAGTCACTAGAGGCGTTCCACAAGGATCAGTTTTAGGCCCTCTGTTGTTCATTATTTACATTATGAATTACAAGCGACATGAGCAAATTTGTTGATGATACAAAAATAGGCCGTATGATTTATTCTGAGGAGGATACCAATGAACTCCAGGAGGATTTGGACAGATTAATGTCTTGGTCTGAAAAATGTGGATAAGTGTAAGGTACTAGTCCTTGGTTATGAAAATAACTCTCGAAGCTATAAACTAGGTGAAGTAGAGCTTGATCATACAGAATGTGAAAAGAACTTGGGAGTCATGGTAAGCAGAAATCTAAAGCCAAGACAGCTGTGCCTAAGCGTGCGCAACAAGGCTAACAGATTACTTGTATTTATTTCACGAAGTGTAAGTAACAGAAGTGGTATAAACCTTGGTAATAAATACCGACAAGTTGGTTTAGAAAAACACGTAAGCAAACACTATGACATTTATTAGAAAACGTTTCGGTCCTGGGACCTTGATCACTTCTAACATACAGAGGTAGAAAGACATTATATATACAGGCGGAGAGTGAGGTGTGAGTGACGCATGGTGACCTGAAGAATGTCATGTCATGTCCTCATCCCAACATGACATTCTTCAGGTCACCATGCGTCACTCACACCTCACTCTCCGCCTATATAC